CGCACAAAGAGTCAAACAGTCACAGTCATCCGCGACATCAGCATTCGTACCAGTCTGAGCAAATAACAGCAGTTTTCGCGTTTCTTGCAAAGCGCTTACGTAACGATCCCAAAGGTTAAATGATCGTTCAACTGATTCTTAAGCATCTTGACGCTGCTGGTACAAGAAGTCAGTTCGATTTCAGCATGACCATTGATCTGGCGTTTTTTAAGATTGTTCGCGTGAGAAAATTCGCTTAGTCACCGGGTGCACGTTATGTTCCCCTGTATAATCACCAACTCTTCGGAAATTTTGCGGAGGAAAAGATTCAATTAGAGGCACACCATCAAGGCAGAGCCATGAATATTATAATAATTCAATACTGAGCTGGGTTACCCAGCAAATGAGCTCCTGTATTCGCCGTGCGATGACCGACTCTCCTCTGATATTGAATAGTTAATTGCTACTGCTATCCATCTGCTCTATAGAAAGCGGTTGTTCAGTCGAACCAAGGTGGATAAGTGAGAACCACTTTGTGGGGAGGAAACAGGAGACTACGCGCTACAGTAGTCATCTCTCCACCTATATACTTAAAATATAACAACACACTCATGGGCGATGACACAAACGGAGATTTGCGCCGTTGCATAAATCAAGGTGGTGGCAACAGCTGTGGGTCAAAATGCACTTTGAACTTACATGTGACTGTTTCAACTCAAATATGCGGTATTTTTCAATGAGCAATTTTTCTTCATCCCTGAGAATCACCGCTGTGTGGGGGCGGATCGGCAATGAATCAGCAATTGCATGAATACTGTTTTCTTCTTGCCTCTGGCGACACCATGTTTATGCCCAGATTTAATTTCGATAGTTAGGCGACGGAGGCGCTCTCCAGCGCGCATGGCGCTGCTGTTTCTTTCTCGGCCTTCCTCCCTCCGATCTGGCTGACGATGTGGTTGATTGTATGATCGGGATAGCAGCAGTCGCGTAGGATCTCCTTGTGCAAACACTTGAACAAAGTATCTGGTCCTGGAGTAGGTCCTGCGGATTCTGTTTAAAGTTATCCACTGTTTCCGAGCTTAGTGCAAGGTCGGTGGCTTTCTGGCCAGGTCATCAGTTGCGTTTTTATACGGCACGTTGGAATTTCGCCAGGTTTTCATCCATTCGTCACTGACGTCAAAAGAAGGCCGCCAGACCGTGAACGACTTGACACAGTAGTTTCCGAAAACTGAGTCAAATTAAGGAAGGGTGTCCAAATTTTTGATGGACTAGTAAGTTTCGCACGGCTTGAATTTTGCGGTACTGGCGCAGGCAACTTTTGAGCCCTCTGTTGTTGATTGGAAGTACGCTTGACAGTATGCGATAACCAGGGCAGGGCAGTGCTAGGAAGAGCTCATGAAATGATCTTCTTGGTGTTGCTTCCTTTGGATCAGAATCTAGTCCGTTCGGATGACAGGGCCTGTCTCCTCAGCCGGGGTTACGAGTGCCAAAATTATCCGTTTCAGCTCTCTGCTTGCTAACTAACGAGCAAGATTGGCCTGCAGCTAGTCATCATGTGATTTCCTGGTCTTCAAAATGGCAGTAATCTTCGTTATCTTTCAGATATTCAGCTTTCTGCCCTGTGAAATATGCAGTGAAACCCGGTTACAGAACTGTAAGCCGTGTTCGACCGTTAGGTCGAAAGTGTTTTGTCAGGTCGCAGGCAAACTGCAGAAAACTTCAGTCGAGTCTAGAAGCTTTAACATCTTTATAGCTTCA